AGCACAATGCTTTCTGATGCTTATATATTTTTCTCGAGTTAAAAAAAAAAAGAAAGAAGATGGTATTTTTAATTAAGAGCACTGTTTCGTTAGATTAAAATTTTATTTATTATAAATAACGTACAATATTACAGATATATTCTTTGATAATCTAGAGTACTGATAGCATTTTTTCAAGGGTAAAAAATGTGAAAAATGATTAATTTCTTCATTAATTTCAATAATAAAAATTTTCATTTTTAATATTTCCGCTTTTAAAAAAAATTTACATGAGGGCTAATCTTTTTGTATTGAATTTCTTGCACAGTTTATTGTTTCTTTTTTTTTCTCTTCAACGTTAAAAGAAAAATAGAAAAGATAAATCGTACAAGAATTCAGCTAAAAAAAAACACTTTATTCTTAAAAAATTTGAAAATACAATTACAATATTTTTAAAATATATTTTTAATATTTATTCAATATGAAAAATGTCCAAAATATTGATTTAATATTAAATAAATATTAAAAATATAATTTAATATTGTCTACTGCAGACTTAACAAACATTCTTCTGCGTGTACATTTTAGAAAAGTCTTCGTCTACGACAAGAGGAGCTCAAATTTTCCGAATCATGTTATCAGCATGGATAATATCAGTTATTATAAAAGACAAATATTCTGTAAATGTAGAGAAATCTACGTGTCTTAATTCACGAAAAGAGACCGTAACATAATCTGGGAGATCCCCAGATTTAGCGTCGCCGACGTTATATCAAATTGTGCGGAATATGCGCGACGTCCTTCATCCTCTTATGTCTCTCTCCAACCTTCTTCATCACAAAACGTTTTCCGCGTGCATATCATAATTTGCATACATTATTATTCTGGAATATCGCAAATTCCACAACATTCGACGCAAATACAGTCAACAGTTGAATGTAATAATGTGACATATAATATAATACGTAATATCGAACGAATACTTAATAAAACAGTTGCAAAAGAAATTAGATTAATACAGCGATTATACTGTCATGATTTTTAGAATTATGAGATTTACATACAAAAACGAAATTAAATTAATCTTGATATATTAATTTTATTGATAACTAAAGTTAAGAAGGAATACATATATATGAAGTATTTTATTATATACTTATCAATGCTGAATTTTTTTAAAAAGAAACGAACTTAATATTTCTTTTAGAAACGCATTTTGCCTAGAAATTTTACAATTATATATTGCAATAGCAGTAAAAGAACTACCATCTTTATAAGTGTTCATAAACAAAAATACTGTAATTCAAATATGAAACTAAAAGAAGAAAATAAAATCGAAATATTCTACTCGAAGAGCGATGTCCTCTTAAAAAATATGTGCATTTTATTCGATAATGTGAAGAGATGTTTTGTCTGACAATTACCACGTAACTTGATATCGACATTTTAGTATTCCATTAGATTAGATACTGAAGATGAGTAGATACATTTTTCTAATCTATCTCGCTGCTGGGCACCGAAACTAAAATAGTTCATAAAAATGTTGAGATATGTTATCACGTACAATAAAAAAATATAATGAAGATAATTTCAATTAGATTACCTATCCCCGTTACATAGAAACATATATAAGGAAATATTATTCAATTAATATAAAAGAATAAATGTTTAAAAAAATATATTACGCTATTAGTAGTAGAGTAAATTTTTTGAAGTATGAAGTAATAGAAGCTTTTAATCGCAATAAAATAATTAATTGGTGTGATAATAACACATACGTATGCGATTGCTTTATTTATAGTCCATGCTTCTTTGTTTTCGTGTAAAAAGAGAAATTAAGTTGTTATATTTATTAAGTCTAACCATCAAGTACGATATGTACGATTATGTACGATACATAAAACAGATAATGCACGATAATAATGCACGACAACTTGTTATTTTTACTTTGTTAATTGTTTTCCGAGAAAATAAAATACGGAATGTAAATGACCGCAATTAAAGCGTAAGCCTAGCTCTTATATAATGATTGTTGACTTTTAAATTTAATATAATGTCAGTAAAAGCGACTGACAGAAAGAACCAAATTAAATATAAAAAGCTCGATTTTACATAAATTCTACAAATTAACTAACAATTAGTTAATTTTTTAGAAAAATATGCGAAGAAATTTATGAGAAGGATTATGGAACTTATATTAATTTAAGAGAATAATTTTTTTAATGCAATGATCTCTTCAACAAACACTTCAATGAACACTTCAACAAAATTCCGGTTAATTTAATCGTCAAATTAATAATGATTATTAATAAATATAATATTATATTAATAAATAATAATAAGGCTCTGTACGTATAAAACAATGTGGTACAAAAAAGAAGGGCAAAGAACCAGTAATGTATCAAAGAACTTTAATTTAAATTAGCATTAAAAATTCATATAAACAATTATAATTAACAATAAACATTTCGACTCTAATCGAGTCATTTTCAATGTAGTCTTAATATTTCAACATCGTTCTAAACCAAAATGTACATGATATTACAATACTATTATAATTTTTAATACCGTATTCATCATTCCGTGTAGTATGCTGCAAATTATTTTCATCAAGAATCAAAGTTGTTATAAAAAAAAATAATGGTTATTCTGTTATCTATCCTAGTAACTGTTATCGAGAATTATAACTGTAGTAATATATTATTGTTATCAAATTTGGATAATAATGGTTAACGGATAAAATGATTATTTTCATTAATTAACAATTTACAAGAGCAATAATAATATTTAAGATCCTAATCAACTTAATTGATACTTATCTAATCGTTTGCACAGACTAACTTGTTTGCTGCAGACACTGGTTACAAATGAAACGTCTAACCGGACAATTATAATTGATCGATTAAAGAGCTATTTATAATTAAGATAATTAAAAATATATTATAAAAGAATATTCAAGTTTCTGTGATATATGTTCAATTGAAATTTTTATGAATAACGCAAATTTAAATGTAATATATGTAATATACAAGTATTATACATCAGAAACTTAAATTATTCTTTTATAATATATTTATAATATTAATTTATAAATATTAGAGGAATTTTCTGAAAAGCATAAATTTTTTCAGTGTAAAAAAAATCTTACAAAAAACATTCATTGTTTGTAAAGAAAGTTGATCAAAACTGTTACACTGTGGCTGTGTTCCAAAATTCACTGCTAGTGCTGAAAATGTATACGTAACGTAAACTGTAAATTTTCAGTGCTGGCAGTGAATTTTAGAACACAGCCTTAATTATTAGTTAAATTGAATAATTGTTTAGCGAAACAACCTGTTTGGTAAAAATGACTAAACTTCGGCAGAATTGCATTAACGCAAAATTTGATACTTATATGTAACTCGTTATTTATAATCTTTTTAATCCTTCTGTGTATTAAAAAACAATAAATTAATAATTTTCCTCGTATTAATAGAACATTTAACAAAATATAAACGTTCATGTGCAAGATAATTGCCAATTATTAATCGAAATTGAAAGATGTTTCAACATCTTGAAATTGAAAGACATTCTTTAAAGACATTTATAATAAAAGAATCTTCTTTCACATTTCATTTTAATTTTTATCGATTCTCAGTAATTTGCTAGACAGCTACATGCATGATTAGCTTTTCATTTTTTACTTTACGACATTGTAACAATAAATAATAAGAAATCTCTGAATGATTTATCCCGGTAATCCCAAAAATAAGGAAATCTCGAATGAAATACTCGGAATATGTCGACTGACGGAAAAAAAATTATATTGCATTGTATATTGTGTGTCTTGAAATAGCTTTTCTGACATTTAAACGTAATACTTTTTGTTATCTATTTCTTGCTGTTTTTTCTTATTTGCAACCATTTTATCAACACTTTTGTATCGTGTTTCGCACGTTTCTTCGAGTGTTTCTTGTCTTTTTTGAAGATTATCAACTTTTATCTCGGGCGACAGAAAAGGAAGATCGAGCTATAAGAAGCAAAAAGGCAAAAAACAAAAAACTGTAAAAAGCTATGAAGAACAGGAAGCAAAGCGTAACATTATAGAGATTAAACTTTATAAAGTGTTTCCAAACGTTATATCACACATTTGCTACAATAACTTAAAATAATTTAAATTGTCATTTGTCCATCGAGAACAAAAATAACGAAAATATAAAGACGAAAAAAACAAATATGCTTTAAATTAAAGTACATATTTTTATTCCTCTATAATTAAACATTACATTAAAATTGCCTTTTGAAATTAATATTACAAAATTTTAATGATTCAAATTCATTTCCTGGAAAATTTTGTTTTTTAAGTTGTGTCAAATCATTATATATTCATACAGTTGCAAACAAAAAAAATTCCAAGATTCATCCAGGAAGTTCTACTGAAGTTGTTTTCCTCTATAAGTTTCAAATGGAATAAAGCAAAGAGTTATAAAAGTCAAAAGTTTTACACGTGCATGACTAATTTGTTTATTACGAAAGTGTCATCATAAATATTTGTTCAGTTGAAAGTAGGATCGAAGACAATAAGATTATTGAGCGGATATTAATCATCGTTACGCCTTGGCATTGCAAGGGATCGTGGAGTTTCTCCTGTAGTTCCTGCTCTTTAAAATCTCGACGACAATGCTCGTGAATGCGTCATCCACCTCACGCACTTCTCTCCTACCCCGCCCGTCCAAACTGGTCCAAACTCTCACCGGCGCGGGAGGCAGATTCGCACGTAGTCAATTCTCCGTTGTATTCTCACTGTGTGATACTCGCAAACGTCCAGCTCATACTCGGGGAGAGTCGCGAAAAAGTCCAGGAAAGTCGTGGGAGTCTGAAAAACCGTCATCGAACCGCATTCATTCTCGCTCGCTCGCGAGACCTATCAGGCTTGATTTCCTGGTCACCGAGGGTGTGGTGCGAAGATAACGCGCGACTTCCGTCACGCGCCGATAAGGGGACTCCGTTGAGTCGCGTTCATGCCCTGATCTAGAACGAAAGTGACTGGGCCTAAAGCAAAAAAAAAAGAGAAGATTATTCCTCCGATTTCCGTGGAAAAAATCCTCGACGAGTCAAGTATGTATATCCTTCAGTAGATCATATGCCTGTCCTCGACAAAGGATAAGATAATTGAAGCGACAACCCGGCGACGTCTCATGAGTCACGAGAGTCATGTCTGTTTTTTTCCTTTCAGTCGCACCTTCTCTTCGGGCTTCCTCTTTCTCTAGACTAGACAGACCCGACAGACCACTGGATCTTCTCTCTCTTTCTCTCTTTCTTTCTCTCTCTCTCCCTCTCCCCCCTCCCTCTCTCGAGTGTAGAAAGTGCGAACATCATATTTCAAGTGCTCATGCAGACTGGCAGGGTCGTTGCCATTACGCGACTGCTCCTGCTGTCAAAGTCAAAGTCATAGTTCGATCGAATTGGAATGGCTCCCTTTTGATTTTTACAGGCCACCTCACACCAGGAATACTGCAGGTCGTGTTTGAACCTTCTGAGACTGGTGACTTGATTAGGTAAGGTCCACGACAAAAGCAGTGTGGAGAAACAGGAGGATCAATTCTGTATCTTGAAACGAGTTGTGAAAATTAAAAAAATGAACAAATTTAAGTGTTAAAATTATGAATATTCTAGTACATTCATTCACTTTTGCAATTTTCACTTTGTTCCAAGATGCAGAAGCGATTCTCAGATCTTGAATAAACTTAACCTGCCGTTGTCGCAGAAGGTTATCTGATAATTTAGATCAAAGTATTGTTTTATTTGTTATTGAGTTTCTTTGTGCTATATTATCTAAAAGTAAGGTACAGAAAGCACTCATTTCCCTTCAACCGAAAGACACTAAAAGAAAAAGAAGGATGGCGAACCTGGGTAATCTAGAGCAGCAGATCTCGAGCCTGCAGATCAGCGATGAGGCGGCCAAGGGTGCTGCTAAGTCTGGCAAGAAGGTCGGACCCGCGGTGCCGCCGAAGCCGAAGAAGTCTCAACCTCAGGTGAATCTTAATCTTCCAAACTTAAAATCATATTTGTCTCTATTTATCACATATATTAACAAGAGTGCTTCCTTATTCGCACGCATCTCTAAACATGGATGCAAAACGGTAATGAGATCCTTAAATTCAATCAACGAGGACCATCCATGAAAATCCTAACTAATGACCTATCTATTTTAGATACCACAAAGTTACACCATAAAGGCCCCGCCTGTGCCGTCGTACAGCACGGTCCTTAATAATACGTCCAGCGACAAGACTTCAAACTTGTACATGAACGCACCCTCGCCGTATGTCCCGTTGGATATAAAAAACGACTTTTCGCAGAAAATGACACCTGCGAACGGCAAGGAGACATCGAAGATTTATCAGAACAATGATAATTTGTATGCTCGTCAGCCAGAAGAAAAGTTCGAGCCGAAGTACAGATATGACGAGAAGAATTATTACTCCAATATAGGGAACATGCCGGCACCTCAGGTACCTGTGGCGGACGATCGCGTGAATAGAGCGACCAGAAACGCAGTGTACAGCAATATAGAACCACCGGTAGGCTCCGCGTATGAGTATGTCCCATACGAAATGAATAAGGAAATTATATACAGCAACATTCAGTGGAATCCTAAAACAGAGAATACATATTGTAACGTTCCTGCACATGGGGCTGGTAAGAATCTTTCTAATAGCGAATTTGGCCACTTGCATTACATTTGATTAGTGCATCCTAAAAGCGAATATATATGAAATTAGCAAAAATTAAATAAAAGCCTATATAAATAAAAATATATATATATTAAATATATAAAATATATAAAATATATAAAATATATAATAAAAATAAACGATCTATATAGGGCCACTAAGAGTAGGCTGATGATTTTAATTTTATATATTAGGTGTAGTAAAAATAATAGATTTCTTTTTACTACACCTAACATATCAAATCAGGATCCACTTCAGTTGAGAACCTGTTAGTGACTCATTTGATGGAAAGTTCAATGAATTAGGATTTGAAATATGTATTGCTGAAGAGGACTCCAAAGAGAGCCGTTCAACAAAATAAAGAAAATTACACATACTCGATTAATGGTATAGAATTTAATCGTTGGCACCTTCATCAGCCTACTCTTAGTGGCCCTGTATAGATTGTTTATTTTTATTTTTTATTTTTAAGATTTTGAGTCTGTACAATTTGACTTATATAAATATTTTAAATGATTAATGTCCAAAAATAATATTAACAAAATATTATGTTATTTTAGTTGAAAGAGTTTGAAAATTTTTGACATCTTTTAAAGATTCAAAACTAAATTGTAAAAATAAATTGTATTGCAATTCTTATAATACTTCATTGAAAATATTGAATTCGAGAAACAAATAAACACACAAAATAAAGTCTAACCTGATCGTCGAATGCAGTTTCCAAATCATTTAATATGTGTAATTCTTCATTTATGAATTCATATGCCATGGCCATGGACATTGGTGAAAGAGCTGTCGTCGAGTTGAATATGTCAAACGCGTTCGTAAATTCACAGGGAACATATTTTTTAATTGGTACATTAAAAATAAAGCCCCACATGTAGATATGTCCCACGCTAGACTTGACAAAGCTTTTGTAATCAATGACAGCGATGTCTGATATTTTTTTTACATTTTTTATGTATATCTGTTGATCAAAAAATTCTTTGGTTTATTCTTTAGTTTATGTTTTCCTACTTTTTTCCCATTTCTCATAATACAATTATAGAAACAAATCATTTACCTTGATAGGAGAAGTATTGTAACTTTTGTTAAATTGATCGTAAATGTTTGATCCCCAGCCGTAGAGTTTCCCTTTATTACTTAGAACAAGTATGTAATCAATCCCACAAGCTACCTTGACTAAACATTAAGATTAGGTTATTCTATAATACTTGCAACAATAAATTCTTCATGTATACATCTTTACACTTTTAGGAATGTATTTTAAAGAAAATTACCAATTATTTTGTCTTTAAATGCGGTTATTTCACATGGCCGTTCAACAGAACTTACTATTTCGTCGTATTGAGTATAAGTGGTAAAAGTTAAATCCTCATCCAAATTTCTATGCTTTTTTATCATTTTGCTATTAGTCCTACACAAACTCAATTGATCGTTGTCACATATACCCCAACAGTACATTTTATAGTTATCGGTAATTATCACAAAAAAATTTATTCCGCAACTTATGCATGTAATCTTCTCTTCGATATTTATTTCATGTATACTGCATTTTTTTCCTTCTATCCAACCATTTGTGTAATATATCTAAATTAAATAAATATAATATATCTAAGTAAAGTTAATAATTATTCTTACTAATGCATTCATGATGATATCGTCGTAATACTTTACTTTGCCATCGTCAGTCAAAACGAGAAAATTACTCTTATTAGTTGCTGCTTTTATAATTCTTGTATTGCTCCAATCAATCTTATGGGAAGTATAATATATATAGTGTGAGAGTTTTACCATAATTTCAATTTTATTTTCAACCTTATTGTCTGTAGATTGAACTTCAAAATTGAATGTCATTTTTGCATTTTTATCTTCCCATACATATTTCTTTTAAAAATATAATGTGATCATTGATTTATTCAGTTAAATTAATTATACAAGATGTTATTTTTTTAAATTGAAATCCTTGAACATTTCATTTTTCCTTAATACGAAGAAATTTTTCGAATGAAATTGGAACTGTTTCGAGAAGTACATATTTTAATCATATTTTTTTCTAGGTGAGAGTGCTAAAAAAATACGAAGGTTATTTCCACTACTGTAAATAAAATAACATGATTTTTTTACATAATATGATTCTTCTAATTCTTCTACATATAAAACTTATATGAACAGAATATAATACGTGGAATCATTTAGTGTAATGAAAACGCAATTACTTATTTCTAAAATTAATTGTTTAACTTCATATTTTTTTAAGCAATTATGTGTTTTCTTTACATAAATTGATTCTCTTTATAATTTTGTTTGTAAAAGTATTCAGGTGCAAATGAAAATGAAAAGTATTCATACAAGGAAATTTATTTTTTTATAAAAAAAATCTTTGTGGAAAATAAACATTAATTAGCAATTTTACAATGAATACATTTTATTTTAACATAAACAAACGAGCTTCATATTTCTAATTTTAGAAGCTAAATTTCTCGTTTGTACGCATACTTTTTGAGCATTCAAACAATACAATTTTTAATTTTCAGATGATATCTTATTTTTCGGATGATATATTTTGTATAATTACACATCTTTTATGTATACATTTTACACATCTTTTTGGTATAATTTTAAGAAACATACAGTCCATTTTATTCTTTATGAATAAATTATTAATTATTTAAGAAATGATCGTCAATTAAACATCGAATCGACATCAAATTGATGTTGAAATCATTGTATTTATATCGATTCGATATCAATTCGATGAGTCATTTCTCACTGGATAATATTTACTTTTTAAAAATAAAGTTTTTTTAAAAAACATTTTCTTTGTACTGATACTTTTTGCACTTACTATATGAATGTTCAATATGACGACAAAATGTTATTCCATTCAGCGAACCTGGCAGTATAAACATTTTCTATGACTAACTTTTTTTCTCCTTATCCTATTTAAATGTCTCAATTAGTGACAAAGTAACTTGTGGCAAAAGAGAATTAATAAATTATCGATACGTATGCCACAATAAGTACACATAAGTACACATGAAATTAATTTTTTTTAGCAAGTTTGAACATATTTAAAGATTACGATAACTTAATTTTTAAAATTTTTTTAAGAATTCTTAATTTATTTACATATTTATAAATGTTGTTTTTATACCATTTAATGACATATGTATTCGAAATTGTCCCAATTTATAACGGATATTGATCCATAGGTGATGTAAACATCACCAACGTTCCTAATATTGACACGTCGTATAAACAAAGAAACATCTTTATTACTGACATCCAGTTAAATAATCTTATATTTAATTTAAATTATGTTTAATCATATCTATAGCCACTATTTGTACTCAATATGTTGTTAATTTGATTAAAATATTGGAATTAAACAATTTAACTAATGAAAATATATTGCTGTCTCTTAGATTAGGAACTGCACCGACTATCATAAATTGGTACAAAATCATGAGTGTCCCTATTACTAACTTAAGCAAGACAATTCATAGATTAGGAACTCATATTTGTATATTTTTTAAATTCTGCAAGATTGTAAGTTACATTATTAATATTATTTCTTAATTTAATAATAATTGATATTTATAAATTACACATTTCATTTAATAATAGGAACGTTTTTATTGTTTTATATGATATTTGTTTGTCAGTAATAAAGACAAACAAAATTTGAGTACCGATTAGTGATGCATTAATTAAAATATGTATTTTTGTGACGTTTCCAGTTATTATTCACAATGTTTTTAATATCTATTTAATTTTGGGTGCTTACTTTTATTTACTTTTAGATTAATAATAGTTAGAATCATTCGACGAAAAGACCGTCGATATAGTTGCCTTCCATCCTTACAAGATGTTAGTGAGCATCTGTTAGATTTGTTATCATTGATAATATGCTTATAATATTTTAGCGTTTACAAAAGCATTTAATTTTATTCAAAATTCATTGTAATAGATAACATATACAATTTTGAATAACACATTTTTTAGAATGAACACCCATTGATCTATATTAATTGATTTATTAAGAAAAACAGTCATGATTGTCACTAATTGGAACATTTACTCAGCTAAGTCTTCTTATTCTTCATAAGACTAAATCTTAGGATTCTTTTAATATGTGGAATAAAGTATAAAATATCTAACTTTGATGTATCTGCTTAATATTTTTATTTGTATATAGAACAATTATGCAATCATATTATATTTTTAAAAAATCATAATTTTATTTAAAAAAATAAAGTTCTTTAAATCTTTATGGTGCTTCTATCTAAAAAAAATTAACGTAACCAAAATATGTTCTTCTGGAAACTGCTCTTTCATTTTTATATGAAATGTTTGTTTCATAAAAAACAATTGAAATATTCAAAATTTTCAATTTCAGTGCATCGTTCTTTATATGGATTAGATTCAATGAATTTAATTACATTGAATTTATATCATAAAATAAAATAATTTAATACATATAAACTCTTATAGAAATCTAATACCAAAACTGGCAAATTAATCACTTATTTTTAATATTAAAAGTGCTGTTGACAATACTTTTAATACTCAGAATAAAAGATTAATTGCGACCAGTATTAGTATTAAATTTCTATAAGGGAAAGTAATCCAAAAATTAATAGAGAGTTGATCATACATTTAGTAAACTTACTTAAAATTGTCGATACTATAAGTTTGTTGTACGTTAAATGCAAAAAATAAATTTTAACCTCTTATAACTTTATATTGTAAGACATTATTACATGCACATGATAAAAAACAACATATAACAAACATATAAAAAATTAACGTATTAAATGTATTTGGCATATATATTACGTTGTAAATATATAAAATATATAAAATATATAAAATATATAATAAAAATAAACGATCTATATAGGGCCACTAAGAGTAGGCTGATGATTTTAATTTTATATATTAGGTGTAGTAAAAATAATAGATTTCTTTTTACTACACCTAACATATCAAATCAGGATCCACTTCAGTTGAGAACCTGTTAGTGACTCATTTGATGGAAAGTTCAATGAATTAGGATTTGAAATATGTATTGCTGAAGAGGACTCCAAAGAGAGCCGTTCAACAAAATAAAGAAAATTACACATACTCGATTAATGGTATAGAATTTAATCGTTGGCACCTTCATCAGCCTACTCTTAGTGGCCCTGTATAGATTGTTTATTTTTATTTTTTATTTTTAAGATTTTGAGTCTGTACAATTTGACTTATATAAATATTTTAAATGATTAATGTCCAAAAATAATATTAACAAAATATTATGTTATTTAAGACAAAACACAATATACAATTTTTGCTGAAATATTTAAAAATTTAGCTATATATAAACCTGGAAATAATTTTGTTGAATCATTAAAATAATTATGCAGGACGCTTAAACATAATGAGCAATGCTGTAAAAGTTGTAAATTGATAAAAAGCGTCTGAACCTTTTTAAGGAGTTGAAAATAAGATCCAGTTTTGCAGCAATCTTTTGGTAAATCAGTGGAGTATTCTGCTTGTAGACGATTTACCACCACCGCCGGAGCCGTCAGAATACGTTTCCTGCGTACCCGGGAATTCGTTTCCACCGCCGCCTGACGAGCTGCCTCCGCCACCGAGTCCTGTTTCGTCGAGTTACAGCGAGTTGAGACGTGCTACTTACCAGACCGATTTTCCATCAGGCAACTATCCCGCTGATATTTACGGTCCGAGTTCTCAGTCCAGCTCAACGTACGAATCCATATATGAGCCGATTAATCCTAGACCACCATCGCAATTGTCATGTAACTATTCCATGTATTCCGGCTACGGATCGGCTACGTCTACTCAGCCGCAGGGCAAAGTGTCTCCCGTTAAAGAAGTGAGTCTTGAAATTCTATACTGTATGTAAAATTTATTGAAATGATTTTAGTTTGTTGAAATGTAAGGTAAAAATAGACTTCACACTTGCATGTTTAATTCGATTATCTAAAGTAATTATATCTTATTGTAAATTATTTTTATTTGTATTTATTTGTAATAAGAGAGAGAAGAGTGTAATTTAGTTTAAAAAATTAGATTAATTCAACAATTATTAATTATAATTATGAAGTAATTGAACATAACTATAAAGTATGCGTTGAAATTAAATGACTGATTTTATTTATAGGTCGACGTTCTTACGGATCTGTTAGTTCAAGGAATGGAGGATAATAATGAAGACAGTGATATATATGGCATCTGTGCGCAATGCGGACGCAAAGTAGAGGGAGAAGGAACTGGATGCTCGGCGATGGATAAAGTCTTTCACATAAGTTGTTTCTGCTGCTTCGTATGCAAGGTCAATTTACAAGGGAAACCTTTCTACTCGTTGGAAGGTAAACCTTATTGCGAGGAGGATTATCTCAATACTCTGGAAAAGTGTTGCGTTTGCACCAGACCGATACTGGACCGAATATTGAGAGCTACTGGCAAACCATATCATCCCTCGTGCTTCACCTGCGTTGTCTGTGGACAAAGTCTCGATGGTATACCGTTCACTGTGGATGCTACGAATCAAATACATTGTATTCAGTGTTTCCACAAGTGAGTTCATCCCAGTTTCTTTTGTTGGTTTCTTCAATTATTATTCAATTCTGGTTAACTAATTCACGTTCTTGCGTTTGCAGGAAATTCGCTCCGCGTTGCTGCGTCTGTAAGCTGCCTATAATGCCCGAGCCTGGTCAGGATGAAACCATACGAGTGGTAGCACTAGATCGTAGTTTCCACATTCAATGCTATAAGTGCGAAGATTGTGGATTAGTATTGTCATCCGATTCGGAGGGACATGGCTGCTATCCCCTGGACGATCACATCTTGTGTAAAAGTTGCAATGCTACCCGTGTCCAAGCCTTAACGTCTCATATGACGACCGAATTATAAATATATAGACGCGACAAGCTTATATAAGCAATATAATTTGTTGAAACTTCGGAAATACGAATGAAATGTTAAATCAAGTATCGTTGTGATTAACTGTAGTGAAATAAGTACCGCTATATACACGGTATTATAGGTCTTTTTTATGCGTACACAATTTTTCTATTCCGCTTCTATTCACACCTCATATATTCAAAACCGATATTTACTATCCCATTATATTAACGAAGAATCGTTTTTTAATACTTTACCTGTTAGCAGATTAAGGAAATTATACTGTCCATATTTGGATCTTTTTTTATAATCTGGCACGAAAAAGAAAACAATTGTCAACGATTATTTATATTCTAATAATCTTTAACGGTTATAAGATCACTGCATTAGAATTCCGTCACTGCCATGACCGAAGCATTTTCTCCGTACGTTACGAAACAATGTTGGCAAATTAATAGTAGATATAAGTTTGACGTCCGAGATAATTTTCCTGCAGATGTGATTATCATTGTGATTCTAGTAAAGTATTCAATGTATCGTAAAGAGTATTTAACGTGTAGTTTATCGTCGACAGGAATACTGCTTCGATCCATTTATTTAGAGATTAGATATTAGATTCGGGAAGTAGGATTATTATTGACAATATTGATATACCGGCGAGAAAGTGTGCCATTTCTTCTTGTGAAGGTATTTTAAATGGATCTTTGTAAGACTATCGAGAAAGGAAAGATAAACACTCAATCTCAAACTTACGATGCGATTAGTTCCCGAACTTTTTCGCATGGGTAAGACATTATTACATCGAGGAGAGACTTGTATGATCTCTGTATTATAGTATCAATAAAAATACAGTTTGTTATTTATGGCCAAAGAGTAACACTTCGTTTTTGCCAACCATTCTTGCCCATCCGATGATTTTCACTACGCATGTAGACACTGCACTTTTAGCCTGCATTTACCGAATGATATCGGTTATGATCGAGCTTTGTATGTTTCACTATTTCAATGAAAGTTGCTATTAATATATATCGTTATATTACTATTGTGATTGTATTAATAGTTATATACGGTGGCTCAAGCTACCGTACTTCCTTCCAGTTACAGATTTTCTCAAGAATTCGAAGTTTTTTTCGTAGCAAAAAATTCAATTGCGAGCACGCAATTTTTTTTACAACAATTTCTAATATTTAACAATATATTGTTATTTTGTTAGAGCTACTTGAAATTAAATAAAGGATGAGAGTTTTTTAAGAGATAAAATTAAGTCTCCTTATTTTTTTGAAAATTAAAATAAAATTATTTCAAAAACTATTAGAATATTTTTGTGCTATTGAAAAGCCAATTTCAAATTTACGAGAAAAACTGTAGCCAAGATGAAGTCCGCGATTATACAACCTGTAGACATATGGTGTGTGTACATATACAAAATTTGTACATACATACACACATCAGATGTATATATGTACACATTAATATTGTTATTATAATTGCAGAAGAAATTTACAGCAGATTCATTCTATATCATCTCTTTACTAATTTTTTTTTCTCTATGATTTTCATGCACAGATGTTTATCTTTTATTATTATTAACATCTCTTTTTAAATATTTGCATCTTTTTTTTTATATGCGTAACATATTTTTATTACCATAGAGTACTTAAATCTTATATAATTTTTGTGATATATATATATATATATATATATATTATATATAACCTGTATGCCATTTTGTATAATTTATGTTTATTAATACATAAATTTGTCTCACCGGCACACGTGAATCGTGGAACGCGTCCTTCTGTTTCTTCTTGGAAATCAACAATACTACCGATTCTATACTTATCTACACGGAGGTATATCAAATTATAATTCCACGATGGATACATTGTGTATCAATGTATTTGGCGACAGTGCGAATCTAGAAATAATTCAGTTCATTTAGAAATAATTCGGGAAACCGCAAAGGATTTGAAATTGTCGTCCACGGTAAACAAATATAACAAATACTTATTATCATCCGATGTATCCAATGTGCAAATAATCTTGTCGTCGACTCGCGGGAAATGTCTCACGTTAATAATACCTTGCACTAAGTCGCGGTACTTATTGTGGAGCAACGTAGCTCCGTTGCGAGATAATAAATTAACACAGATTGTCACGAAATTCGCACGCTTATCAAATCTTGTCCGGCAATTTTCGCAAATGTGCGGCCGGAAACCAGGACGAAATTCCACGATTCGAAATGCACTCTTTGCTGCGTATGATACATTCGTAAACCCTATACTCTTTACTACATATAGCTCTGGTGTCTATCTTAGACTCCTGTTTTTCTTTTTATCCTTTTTAGATTAAAACTATAATATATTTTATGTAATATATATTTTATCATATTTTCTTCAATCAAGTACAGCACCATTCTACGTTAAATTTAGTACAAGTTCTTAATACTTGGTTTTAATCTAACAATATTCGTTCGATTTGTTAGCTTTGTTGTACCAAAGTCAACATAGAATTGCACTTTTTTTTTAATAATCTATCGTTCTCTCTCTCTCTCTCTCTCAAATAGATACACGTAATTTACACACATATATATACATATGTGTATAAATATATATATATATGTGTGTGTATGTGTGTGTGTATGTGTGTGTGTGTGTGTGTGAAATTGCGTGTGCCTGTATGAGTAGATGCACGAGCCATACTGCTCACATATAAATCTGTACTTGCACGCAATAAATCACAGCCACCTATCCAAATTCGCGCGCGAGCACAAATACATACGACTAAATAACGCATATCTTTTTCGCATTTACATCCTAGATATCTTCGGTATATGTTTTATCATCTCGCTCTGACATTATATATATATATATATGTATACATATATATATATACATATATATATATATATAATTATATATATGCATATATATTACGTGTATATGTGCATATCGATACACGCATACGTGCGTGTGCATATTTATATGGAAATGTATGCACTCACACTACGGATATGTACACATACACATATTGCTACACATACGAGGATGTCCTCTTTCGCGTTTTTGTCTATACGTAGTACTAAGGTGCCAATAATAATAAGCTGCATTCTCTCTCACTCTCTTTCTCTCTATTTCCTCTCCCTCTACTTGTGACACTCATTCACACGATTCACACACTCGCAACACTTTTTCATTCATTCCTCTTCTCTCTCATCGACATGACGTGACATGACTCGTTTGCTATATTTTAACCGATAGCTCTCTCGTTACACAGTTACTCTCTCGTATTCGCCGGACCCGCTCTTACAGCAGCATCATCATACTTTCACACTTCCGAATTCGCTGGGGCTATAGTTGGGCGCACTAGCATCACACGTGCCCATAAATCAATAAATAAATAGAGGAACAACATTCTTCAAACATCTCTTTTTTTCTTATATAACAACATTAGAGGCTCTCGGAGAACGTAACGCAACAAATGTTCAACAATACAATCACGAAAACAAATAGAAGGCACTCTTGCTTTTCTTTTTTTCTCAATAAATTAATCTCCATGTGTTATAACAACTCACTCTCAGATATTATCTTTATGCCTTCTCCTAGGCCTTGTCTGTCGCGTTCGCATTTAGCTACATACCTATATGACGTTCGAATGTCGCTGAAATTCTCAGGTAACACGCGCCACGACAATCACATGACGGCGCTATAAATCATCTTTCTTTCTTTCTCTCTCTCTCTCTCTCTCTCTCTCTCACTCTCTCTCTTTCTCTCTCGAATGGACAATCATAGCTACGGTATGCGAGATACGAGATAACAAATTTGTTTCACATTTACAAGTAAAAGAAATCCACCTTCGTAACAATTAGGTAGAATATTATTTAACCTTTAATATTATAATAATTTAATTATTGTTATTTGCTTGGAAGCTCACAGCCGACACATTTTTTTTAATTCATTATTATTATTTCTCTCTTCTTTTAATATCTTATCTTATTTTCACTTGGGTATACGGGGCGCTCATCTTTCGTACTTGGGTCTCGGTTATTATTTTTTTTCCCCTCGGTATTTAACAGCTACAACATGTACAACATTTAGCGCAGAAATTTTTCAACGAAAGGCATAACGGAATCCAGTTGTTAGTCCGCTCTATATTCGAAATACGCGGTGAAATATAGATTCACGGTTACTCTAACGAGAGAGAGAAACTATAAGTACGGATAATACCCCCGTGGTCTATCGGGGAATAGAAAACGAAAAATCATGGAGATGTGGCAGTGCCTTGAGCAACCGTTTATGAAATTAACCCTATCTCGCCTCCCTGTTACCCTTCTGCTTTGTTTTTCATCATCTTTTTTTTTGTTTTTGAACACATGACAACACATCGTCTTTGTACGATAACAACGTTATTTTCTCCTTTTTTTTCTTTCGGTTCTATCTTTGCTAACTAATCTAGCCTTGCTCGCGAGATTCATGGTTTGTCGAGCCTATCACGCATATAACATTGGATATATTGTAATAGATATATATATATATGTGTGTATATTATATAACGTAGATATATATATATATATATGTAAATGATGTATCGTACGTATAATATATATCTGTGTGTATACGTGTGTTTTTGTGTGTATGCATTAAGATAGAAGAGTTTTATCTTTGTTAATTCTTTGCTACAGTAGAGAAAAAGGTAGTTGTATCTAGAACAATTAGTTCCTTTTTAGATACATCTACCTTTTTCTTTCCCTCCATATATATAATTAATAATATATCATTCTTTGCACGTATCATATGATAATCCTTCATTTAGATCCCGCTCAACCGATCGCAGCGAACTATGATCGAACTGGGAAAGATTTCATTTCTACAGAATGTCTTTAGCATGTCGAGTCTGAGATCACCAGAGAAATTATACCGTAGCATGTGTATATATTTATATATATGTATATATATAAATATTTATGAGTGTGTATTTATGTATGTATATATGTTGCGTCTTGATTTCCGTACTGTTTTTCACAGTTTGCAGCCGTCGTCTTAGGTCGCGCGTGGTCTCTCTCGACTTTTATAAGATAAATATTTACTTTTATTACGAAGAGGGCAAAGAGAACAAAGAAAGGAGGATAGGAAGCGTCTACAGAGTCAGCGCCTGCATCTGATGGCACGTGTCGCTCAGCTGATCACCAGCTGCCGGATGGCTAGACGTCCGCGGCGTACCGGGTGGCGTTATCGGTAACCTTCCAGGACCGTCGCCGGCACCTCCTAGAGCATCGTCGGCGAGTTTGCCCGCCACCGCTGTGGCCGTGGTCTGCATTATACCGTTCATCTTATACTTGGACTGTCGCAGCATCGTTGTCTGCGAGCCGGTGGTGCTTGAATATTTGTCGGACGGCTTCCGGTTGGTGGACGATAGCGCCTGGCCGACGGAATACCGGCTGCGTTGATTGCCGGCGGACTGCTGTTGTTGCTGCTGCTGTTGTGTTTGGGACAAGGGCATGGAAGATGGCTGATAACGATTCTGAGCCGGAGCATAAAACTGGACCTGAAGAGTGGGCGGGGAGAGAGTTGGAAGAGGCCGTGTCATGGGTGAATACGGAGCTGGCGGTGGGCTCGCCGGCTTCTCCTGGGTGTTGGACGCGTCCGCGTTTATTCGCTCGGATGGAGACAGGCGAGATGACAGCGTCGTCGATGTGTTCGTGACGACGACGCTGTCCGTCTGAACCGTGTCGTTGTTAGGCCGACCGTTGTCGTTTCCGTGTACGTCTAACCGGGTGGCGCTTCCTCTGTAGTTGTTGTTATTGTTGCTACTCGAGAGGCAATTCTTACGACCCGAGCCATAACCACCGGTCATTGACGATTTGTTGATCTC